TCTGGAGTCCAAGTAAAAGGGAGAGTAGGCTGGTCCAGCACTGTGTTCTGCAGCAAAATTACTGGTTATACCTGCAGTGGTCATTCAGCAGGGAAATAATTAAGAAATTAAAGAGAATGGGTCCTGATGGACCGTTTTCAGACCCTGATGTAGTCATATGTGGTCTGCAGTGTATCACCAGCATGCTGCCACAGCCAGCTCAAGCAAATAAAAATGGAGTTTCCCTAATCTGGAAGTGCCATATTAGCCCAGCTGTGGCTGTTTCTTTTGTTGGGACTTAAATATGGAAACAGGCTGGGACTGTATCTGTAGGAGGGACAGAGGTTGGKGCTGGGGAACAGAAGTGTGTGCTTTGTTCCCAGGGAAATTGGGATTTCTTCAGTCTGCAGGCAGTGGATGAAGTGTAAGGTTTTAAATGGGGTTATCTCTTGGTAGCTGTGTGGAGGTACTGGAGAGGAGAACAGGCAAAAAATGCAGGGATTGTTTGGGAGGCTGAGAAAAACATGAATTCCACAACATTTGCAGACCCTTTGTGTAGAGTTTATGCCAAGAGTATAATAATGCTGGCTGCACTTTGGCCTTAATTTTTTGTTTTCATGCCTTTCTTAGGCATGAAATTTGATAATTTTGGAGTTCTAATGTGACTAATTCTTACTGCTCTTAAAATAGCAGCTCACTTACAGTCAGTATGCAGCAATGCATAGGAGTAAATGTTTCTGGGAAAAAAATGTTAATTATAYGAAGACAAGGGTCCATTATATTACATTGCTTTACCATCTTCATAATGCTTTTCCATAGTGTTTTGCATGTCATTAATGCCAATTCTTCTCTGGCAAGCCCACAGTTATTTGCATTACCATGCCTTGAAGGGGGTTTATGTGAGAATAACTGYTGTGGTGCAGTGCAGAAGCACAAGGAGTCCATGGAAAACCTATTCCCTGGAATGTGAGCAGGAGATGCAGGGAACCTGTGTGAGTGCTCATAATGCAGAGCCCCTTCTCTGTTCATGTTGACCTCTATTCCTGTAGCTGCATTTGATTTCTGCCAGGCTTTTCATGACYCTGTGCAGCAGCACAGTCCCAAATTAATAAGGATCTGTGTTGACAGCTGCTTCAAAACCTTCTGGCCTGTTTCAGAGATTTTTTTTTCCCTTGTGTACAGGATGTTGGATGCAGCACCCCAGGATTTCTTCTGGTGGTTGCTTTGCTGGGCAGGCTCAGGGAATCTCTGGTTTTTGCTTTCCTTTGCAAATTAACTGCTGTGAGGACAGTTTTTTTGTTTGCAGTTGAGTTGTGGCTACTGAAGGATTGAAAAGGAAGGGTCTCCTGTTGTGTTGTACCACACAGGGGAGCTGTATCTTGATATGACTTAAAAATGGCATTGAAACTGTGCTTCAAGGTGTGCTCATTTTGTTCTAGTCATCATGACAGCATTTATTAATTATTTGCTCCTTTTTTCTTTGCCACACACTGGCTGGGGTTTTGTCCTCTGCGCTTTTGTTATTGCAGTAAGGTTGAAGTTGCACCATCGTGGTGCTTCYGTGAATTACTTTTGAGAATTTGCACACCATCTGTGTGCAATAATAAAGCTTTTAGCAACTCCAGATTGCCATGCTCGTGGTGGGGAGTGTGGATGAAAGCCAGCCCAGTGAATTAAGGTCATGTCCCTACTGGGGACAGAAAGCAAGCTCTAGGTAAAACCATCTAGACAATCCCTGGGAGAGGCATCTGCTCCTGGTAGCACTTTGGCAGTCACAGTTATGGCTGTTAATCTTCARACTTCCAGCCCTGAAAGGGAGCAGAAGACACACAGGGACTCATTCTGGGTATTAACGGACACCTGCAGGAAAAATAGTGCATGTTCTTCACAGTCATAGGTGGATGGGAAGTGGTGGTGAGTAGAAAATGTGTAAAGCGAGCCAGACAGGTTAAAAATATAAATAATCATGATACAAAGCAAAAGAGACAACAGCCACTTCTCAGAYAAATTTTAGAAAGGATTAAAACACCTGCTTAATCTGTCAGTGGAGAAGTTGTTCATAACAACATTATGAACCAACATAAAAAACCTGACATTTACAATATTGAGGAGAAAATAAAAAGCCTTTGGATATAGGTCTGTGTGGGAGGAAATAACGTTGAGAGGAAAAACCCATGAACTGTTGTACCAGATAAATACACTATATTAAGAAAATTACAACGTGAGAGGGACATCTTGTGGCAYAAATAAAATAAAAAATAATAGTCCAGTGTCAGGAGGAGGATCCTGGAATGTTACCCTGGGGTCACCATTTCTGGTAAAAATTCCAGGCCTGGTAAGAGATTAATTTGTTCCAGTCTTTCTTATAGAAGAACTCCTGCTACCCACTTTCTCATCTTCCCACCTTTTTGTCTCCATGAGACGAGGATTATAGAACACAGACGTTCTACCAAATATACTCGTCTGTCTTGGTGCAAATGATGCTAGTTTTTAATGAAGAAATMGATTAAAATGTCACTGCCGTTATTTGACTGAATGTGTTGTCATCCGTAGCATAAAATGTGACAGAGCCTTAGCTGTGGGTGGTTAACACTTATTTTCCACTTGTATCACAATCATATTTCCATATGTTCATATAAATTAAAAAGAATACATCGAATTTTCAGCAGTGCAGAGGGCCATGATTGTGTACAATCAACTGAAATGGAGCATACCATGCATCTGTGCATCACAGTGGAAGATGACGGAGCCTTGTCAGTGAGCCTGAACCTCGAGATCCCTTGTTTGATTAGTTTTGATCACATGGTGATAAAAGTTTAATTATCTTTTACAAGCAGTAGTTTTCCCAAGAGTTGTCGTCGTAACTTTGAATAATTTCTTAAGTGCTTTTCATTGCTTTGGATGGTGCGGAGTGGGAGAAGTCTCTACACCACAGCAGTGTTTTCAGTCTCACAGATCTCAGCCACCTCAACCACACATTTTATTGTCTTTTGGAGTGGTTCYCGTGGTGGGCTGGTGCTGCACCTGATCTGAGAGCTGGGGGAGCAGGCATTGTACCYCAGTTATCTTCCAGTTGTATTTACACCCTTGGACCCCTTTGGGCTGGCTGCTGGGGYAGGGGCAGGAGGAGGAGCCTGAGATATTGCTGCTTTGGGTGTTTTAAGCAAGCAGGAGTGAGTTGGCAAGAGCTCTGAGTGGAGTCATTGCTCTGAGCTTCAGAGGAACAATAGAATGTCAGTTAAAGGGAAAAACAGACGTGGCTCTTCTGCAGAAATACCTCGGCTCTATGGGCGTTAAGCTTTTCATAAAAACCTGAACATTGGGGAGTTCTTGATTTCATGGTGCATCTTCTGTTAAAAAATTTCAGCAGCCAGATGTTTTCGTTAGGCTCAGTGTTTCCATTGCTACCTTATTTTTATGTATCTGTGATAGGAAGTTCAATATATGTTATTTTCTTGGGGATGTTTATAATGTGTCTATTCATGCCCAAGGATCCAGAAATACTATTTGAATCAATCAGTATGTAAATCATTCTCTGCTTTGGAAGATAGGAGATCATTTCTCCAGCAGTAATTCAATCATAGCTTGCTTTTTGTAAAACCACAATACCCTGGCCTAAATTTAATTCAAAGTTTATGTTTCCTAGCTACAGTTCTAGTACTTCAGTTGCCATGAGTAGAAACACCATAAATTGCAAAAAAAAAAGATGGACAATAATAAGGAGATCTTTTTTGGATTAAAGATAGGGCAGAACCCCCAAATTTTTGTTTTTGGGCATTTGTATAAGTCTGACTGAAAATCTGCCAAGTCATGCCCAGCACAGYTTTTGGCCAACTCAAGTGTGTCATGAAATGTTTTTTTTCTACTTACTGGTCAGCTAAAAGCCTGAGAGTTGCAGTTTGATTGCTTTGAGAKCTATCCTTTGGCCACAATTAATCTCCCATTAGGTATTCTCCAGAATGACCAATGTTTACGTTAGGTTAACCAAAACCTTTCTTGGTACTGTTTGAATTCAGTGTGTGGACTTAGKTTTGTAAGGATGCCAGTTGTGTGCTTTCATGTCTGATTAAATGATTTTGGTTGCTGAAGAGCCTCAGTCCRGTCTCTTACTGGTTTGATCCATTCAAATATAAATTCCTGTACTAAGGGCCTGTCCTGAGCTGTGGCAGTGGAGCAGTCTGGTATCAGGGTGAGAGAATGAGCTCCCACATACCATGGGATCGTGTTTTCCAGCCTGTCAGTTGAAGCTCTTGACAATAATCAAGAGCTGCACCTTGTTATGCCTCTCTGCCTTCAAAAAGGTTCTTCTGGTTAAATAGTGAGATGGTATTAGCTTAGGGTGTGCATACATATTTAAGTGCTGTGCTGTGAATCTCTCGCGTGTTTGCTGGCTGGAATGTCGCTGGATTTTCTGTTTTGATGTCGGATGTCCCAGGGACTSTCAGGGACAGCGATTCCTTGGCATTTTGTGTTTATGATATTATGGAGGGAGGTGCCTGCCTACCTGGAGCAGCATCTGGATTAATGGTGGGACAGCGTTCTCAGCTTTGCCCTTGGTTTCTCGTGTTTCCTAAGCAACAGCACTACACCTAGGAAAGGCACGGTTATTCCAGAATAGGTATTTCCCCAAAAGGGCTGGGATGGAAAAGCCTTTTAAGTGACGCCGAACCGCGTGAGTTCAGGGCGGAGATGGACGGCTGGCGCCCGGCGTGCAGGGGTGCGGGAGGAGGAGCGGGGTGTGCGCTGGGTGCGTGTCCCTGCGGCAGCGGCTGTGCGGGGACGGGCAGGGCCGGGACCCGCGGCTGCGAACGGGGGCGGCGGGGTCGCGCCGGGTGAGGCTCCCACCGGCACCGGCCGCCCTCGGAACCGCCCCGCCGAGCGGCCCGGGAGCGCGGAGCCGCCTTTGCGAGGCTGCGGCCGGAGCTGCCCCGCTCCCTGCGCGCTGGGCAGGGCGGATGGGGGCCGGGGCTGCGGCCCCGCTCCCCGCCGGGTCCCCGCCGCGCCGCGCCCTCCAACGCGCTCCCGCCGCCTCCCTCCCCTTCCTCCCGCCTCCCCGCCCCCGGCTCCGCATCGCCGCGGCCGGAGCGCACGCCGCCCGCCCGAGGATGCTCCGCGCTTTTGTTCCCCCGCCGCAGGTAGGGCCGGGGCGGCGGGGCCGGGCTGGCCCCGAGCCGGGCGGGGGGCGGCGGCGGGGCCGGGGCGGTGGCGGCGGGGCCGGCAGAGGCGGCGAACAAAAGCGCCGTGCAAAATGGAGCCAGCGGAGAAAGGGTTGGACCCCCGCCCTCCCCGCCGCGCATCCCCCCGCCCGGCTGCCGGGGCTCCGGAGAGGCGGCATCGCCTCCCGCTGCTGCCGGCCGGGCCTGGGGAGAGAGCGGGGCTGGAGCCGGGGTCGGCGGGGAGCGCTGGGCAGGGCGTGGGGAACGAGGGGAGCGGCGGAGGTGGCAGCGCGGGGTAGAGGCGGTTCTGTAAAACACTTTCCCCTTCTCTCTGTCAGCCTTTGGAAGGACTCTCGTCCTGACTCGGTGAAGGTTCCTCTCCCTCTTCCCCCAGCCCCTCATCCCTYCTCGGCGCGGCAGCCCACCCCGGAGGGCATCACTATCAGCCCTCTCCYGTGTGCCGGGGAAGTTGCTGACATGCCTGCCGCCGGGTCCCGGTGCACCGGCAGCGGCGGGGAGCCGGATTTAAAGGGGAATTGTGCTGCAGACAATGCACAGCAGCAGCATCTGGAGCGGCCCTGGGGACTGGAGCTCCGGTTTTGACATTGCTGCACACACAGCACCAGCCGCAATGACAGCAGCTGCCTGGAGTGGCTGCAGGCAGCAGGCAGGAGCATGAAGTAGAGAGATCACTGCAGTGCTCAAGATGAACTCCTCTTTGGTTGGCAACCAGAGTGGCCGGCCCTTCTGTCTCCTGGCCATTAGCTATTTGGAGACCATCAATTTTTGCCTCYTGGAAGTGGTTATTATTGTGTTCCTCATGGTGCTGATTATTTCGGGCAACATTATTGTGATATTTGTCTTTCACTGTGCACCTCTGCTGAACCACCACACCACCAGCTACTTCATCCAGACTATGGCGTATGCTGACCTCCTGGTGGGCGTGAGCTGTCTGGTGCCTTCTTTGTCTCTGCTGCACTATCCTATTGTTTTGAGTGAGTCCTTGGTTTGCCAAATCTTTGGTTACGTGGTATCAGTGCTGAAGAGCGTCTCCATGGCCTCCCTGGCCTGCATCAGCATTGACAGATACATTGCCATCACCAAGCCGCTGACCTACAACACGCTGGTCACCCCGTGGAGGCTGCGAATCTGCATATTGACCATTTGGCTCTACTCCTGCCTGGTCTTCTTACCCTCCTTTCACTGGGGAAAGCCTGGATATCACGGGGATGTGTTCCAGTGGTGCGCCAGTTCCTGGGACACCGATCCCTATTTCACCCTCTTCATCGTGGTGATGCTCTAYGCCCCGGCCGCTTTCATCGTCTGCTTCACTTATTTCAACATTTTCCGCATCTGCCAGCAGCACACCAAGGAGATCAACGAGCGGCGGGTGCGCTTCAGCTCGCAGGATGGGGAGGCTGGCGAGGCCCAGCCCTGCCCGGACAAGCGCTATGCCATGGTTCTCTTCCGCATCACCAGTGTCTTCTACATCCTCTGGCTGCCCTACATCATCTATTTCCTGCTGGAGAGCTCYAATGTCTATAGTAACCGCGTGGCGTCCTTCTTGACCACCTGGCTTGCCATTAGCAACAGTTTCTGCAACTGTGTCATTTACAGTCTCTCCAACAGTGTCTTTCAGAAGGGGCTGAAGCGTCTCTCGGGGGCCATCTGTGCCTCATGTGCTAGACAGAGGGTAGCTAAGGACTCCTCTACCTCCAGGAGCAAAAGATCTTCCAATGGATGTCATGTCTAGGATGCCTGTCAGCTGGACTGGGAAGTGCAGGGACAATTGCGTAGATTGCAAAATAACTTAGATATGATTTTAAGCTGTCCAGATTTGCAAAAAGGTTTCTGAAAAAAATGCTGCTGACGTAGAAGCATCAGGAGCACATATCCTTGTGGTTTCACTTTAAAAAATGATTGCTGTGGAGGAGGCTGTGGATTTTCACCTCCACATTCATTTTAAAGAATAAAGCTGTATCTTGACACTTACCTCTCCAGCTGGTGTGACTGAATGGAGTGGGTGTCTGAGAGCTTCGGCAAAATGTAGTCTTTCTTACAGCTTTACTGAGTTCTTTGGAGATTCGTGCTTCACATGTAAATGATAGAKCTGAAGTGGAAATGTCACAGTCTATGGTATATTACAGGGATTTTTTAATATATGCCAAAGTATATTGACACAACGTTCCAGCGTCAGAACAGAAAGGGCCAAACAATTTGTTTTGCAGTTCTACCTAGACAGGACTCGTAGAACAGGAGTGAACAATGTGAACATTTYGGTGTGAACTCGGTGTCAATGAGCYGTGAGTGCAGCARTGTGATCTGGGCAGTCACACTCTTAGGGCTGATCTGATTCCGTGCCCGTTTCCCTGGTAGGATGCATGTTTGGATCAGAGTGCGGCATCTGCGTTTTCCTGTTTGTTGTGAAGTAAGAAGAAAAACTTGGATCAGACCAAATTTAGCAGTTAAATAAAATGTGTTTTGATAAGCTAAGAGAAAATACGTGTTGCTTTATGATACTGGAGTTGTGGCAGCCACTCAAGGATGATGCCAACATGTGAAAATTAGTCTCAAACCAGTGGAGAAATGCCACGGGTTTGTATGTGGAAATTTTCTCAAGAACAACTTTAAAAATAACATGTCCCCATTTTTTTTTTTTTAATCTAAATTCTTCTGATATTTTACATACTGGAACTTAAGGGGAAAGGAAAGAAAACAATTGTCTTCTAAACAGCTAAGGGAACTATGTTGTAAATTTAACTGTAGTATTTGAGTTATTCCTAAGTGCACAGAGCTAAATCAGAGACATTTTTCTTTAGCCTTCATGGGATTAAAGATGGTTCAAATATAGCAGGAGCTAAATCCTGTTGGCAAAAGCGTGTCTAACTGGTCAGACAAAGGCAATATCTGAGAAACCAAATCTCATTGACCACAGCTTGTTCCAGCTAGCCTGGATTAAATGTTTTGAGTACTGTCRTGCTGTTAAGAAGGCAGAATGGCCCTCAAATTGTTGAGTTTTTCTTYAAGAATTGCTTTGTCTTTTTACTGATGCCATTTTGGAAATGAAAGTGAACCGAGTTCTCCTGCAGTGGTGGATTTGCAGTCTGTCCCCCTGTCCTTGGTGCAGGGCTGTCCCTCTGTCTGTCCTGCTCTCAGAGCAAACTGTGCCCCCGACCATCCACCCTCCCTGTCCCTCCTTGTGCTTCCCGTCACTGCTGAGTGAGGAATTCCCTGAGCTCCTCTGCTACAGCTGCTGTGTGCTCTTAGTCACAGTGGGAACGAAAAAAGGATAGGGAAAAATAAAGGGATATTTTTAGAATTGGGGTAATTCTCTTGGCCAAAGGGAAGACTGTATTTTCTTTCAGTGGTTTCAGGTCTGTGTTGTTCTAGATCAAGATCATGTTTTTGATACTCTGCCYTGTCCCTCCTGCAATCTCCCCCTCCTCTCTGCTGTGCTGTGAGCCCTGGCCTGTCCTGTCCATGCCTTCCCTGGGGGATGCCAGCCTGTGTCTCTGCTGCTGCCCATCCACATTTGCCCCAGAACAGTCTCATGGGGCTGCCAGTGAGGAAACAGCGGAGGAGAGAGACAGCAGCAGGGTGAGGCATTCCTGGCATGGCATTTATTTGTCAGCACTCAGTTCTGGTGCCCTTGAGTTSCTCTCCTGTGTACCTGTTCTGGGGAGGATGGGGCAGAACCCCTGCTATTCCTGCCTCCTGTTGGATAAATCATTGCAGTGGTATCTTGATCTTCTTCCAGTGCATTTCATCCCAAGATAAATGTCCTGAGCTCATCAAAAACCTTAGCAGCACAGTTGTGTAAACCYTGCTGCCTTCACACTGACATTTCTTGTTCTCTTTGTAGTAAAGAGCCGAGTGTGGAGCCAGGGCTTGTTCTGGGTCCTGCAGCCACGCCCGGGGTGATTTGCTCTGCAGAGCCCTCTCAGTTGGAATTTTGGGTGGGCACAGCCAACCATGGGGGGAGCACAGGGCTGGAGTGACTCAGTTGTAGAAAAAGTGGTGTAAAAAGCTCCCAGCACATCCTGGCTAATTGTTCTCAGGCAGATCATGGCAAAGGTGGGCTTGGGGAGCGATTCAAGGGCTTTAGTCACCGATATCAAAGTGTATGTGTGTGGTATTTTTGGAACAGCCTCTCAGGTAAACTCCCAGTAGCTCTTCTCTGACTCTTCACCTTATCTAACATTTCCAAGTCTTTGAAGTGATGYAGTGTATCGGTGAAATAGCATTTGATTAAACTTAATAGAAGAGAAGAATCTGCTGGGGCCTAAAACCCTAGAAATGGCAGTTTCAGGTTTAAGTGGGAGCTGGAGAGCRAAGACTGTTGCTTTTGTGTTTTTATGGCTAAATAGAGGGTTTAAATAGGAGCATTGTGTGCTAGTTTGTGAGAATTTGGAAAGTTTTTGAAACTGGTAAGGGATCTAAATCATGACACAGAGATGGAACTGGAGCTGAAGCAGTTGCTCCTTCAGCCCTGAGTCTGGAATTGCACTTGGAGCATGGTGGCTGTTCCAGATGCAGATGCATTCTTTGCAGTGAAGGTTCAGTTCTTGCATTCCTGACAGCCAGGCTGTTTTCAGTTGCCTTACTCATCTCCAAGTCTTCCTCAGCTCAGACATTTTCTGGAAGAGGTGAAAATCAGAATCTGGAAGTTTGCAAGGATAAGGATGGAGAGGAATTGCAGCCARTTGATGCATTCAAGTTTCTCCACTGTTTGTACAGACACTGTTAGTGTTGCCTCAGTAGCTTAGTGTCAAATATTTCTCTTTTTGTCTGTGTTAATTTATTGATATTTTAAACATTTAAATTACATTTTTTCCCTCTTAATTTAATGTTGGTGTAGATTTGTATGTGTTTAGGTGTTTTAAATATTTATAACATTTGGGTCTGTTGTCATCAATGAAATTGCAGAGGGTGAATTCTATTCACTGTGCAAGGGTGGGAAAAATGATTTTGTGAATATTACTTTGTGCATTGARCACCTTTTGTCAACCAAGACAGGCACAGGGGTCCTTCCCATCACACTCCATCCTAGGAGTGGTCAGGCAGCAAATTTTGCAGTGGATCATTTTCATCCTTGCACATCTGAAACGAATCCTCTCCTGGCTCTGTTTGTGTCTGGGTGCTTTGGAAAGCAGTGTTGAGAGCATTGCACAGATAAAYGCTGAGGAGAGGACAGAAATCAAATTGCATCTTCATAAAAATGGGGTTGTGATATGATTAGATGAACTAATTTTGAAGTTCCATCTCAGACTATAAATTTCTTTTTTATTAGAGCTATCTGCCTCACTTTCAAATTAAGCTGCTGGAAGGTTCAATTTGCAGGATGCAATTCAGTGGCTTTTTTTAGTGGCATGGGAAAGATTTCCATACTCACAATTTCTCAGAAGGTGGTAATTTGCTTCATGTAGAAGTATATATATATATTTTTTAAGAGTACTGGAAGTTTAGGTTGTGATTATGTTGTCATTTTCCAAATAGACTGGGAAAATATCTGTGAAATACTATTTTTTTTATGATCTCAATGAAGTGACAGTATTTTTAAACTCAACAGCAATCTTTTGTGTGAAACAAAAGGTTTGCTGTTATCTACTCTTAATTTTTTTTAATTAAATATTACCAGTTTCTACAGTCTTTATTTGTTGTTGGGGAGTTTGTACTTGTTTTTAAGCTTCTTATCACTCAAAAATATGTTTCTTCTACTTGGAATTCTGACATGGCTCAGTGTCAGAGTGCCCAGGGGCAGTCTTGGATATTTGTCACAAGTCTTTGACAGGAAGAAAGGGGTACAAAGTACCAAGGCAGAGAGAAATGCAAGAGACAGAGAATTCCCAATGGCATTGTTCCCTCCCGCTCATAGAAATGCTTTATGTGTGAGAATCCTAAATTTCAGTTTGTCTGTTCTGAAAAAAGACACTTCCAAGGCCTGGATGTGATACGAGACAGAAACATTCAGCATACAGATTCAATATAGAGATTTTTTGCTGTTTATGGTGGTGTTCCCAAGTGCTGTGATGATCAAGGTGCTGTTGCATTTAGAGAAAGAAACTGAAAGTTGTGGCTGATAGAGAGGAAACCTGCTGGAGGTCGGTGAAAACAATGGAGATTCTAATGTGGGCCATGTTCTTTACAATACACACTTTAAAATACCAAGTTTAACCTTCTTGCTTTGTTTTGCTGCTTCTGGAGGCAGCTCCTCTGAGTTTGGGGTCCCCAGGCCAAAGGGATGCTCTGCATACCCAGGGTGAGCATCACCCCCTCACCTGAGTTCAGGTCATGGTTGTCTGACCGAGGTGTTCCAGGCACAGGGAATTAATCTGATGGTATTTATTTGTTTGTTTGGTCAGCTTTTCAGGCTTTTTTYCTGTGACATTGTTTTCTGGACAGGTGAAATGTTTGCTTACAGAGAAAGCTTTGCTGATGGTTCCCCACACAATATGGAGTTCTGTCATCTGTCAGTTCTTATTCCTGTTGCAGAGTGGAAAACAAGTCCCAGTCTGTCTCTCTGCAGGTGTTCAATGGTGGCTGCAAATGGAGGGTTTGTGGGTCTCACCCAGATCCCATTTGCATTCTTCAGCTTTAGCAATTAATGAAAATGTAACAGAACTTATGTTCCTGTCCAGGTTCTTCCTTTACAGCCTCAGATGTCCTTCAGCAATCTGTGCAGTCAGAACTGATCCTCAAGCTGGTGATTTCGTGGTTGTTTTAGATGAGAAAGAGTTGTTAAAGTGATCTTTATTTTGTCCTGGAGCTGCTCTGGGGGAGCATCCCGGTGCCTGAGCTGATCAAAAGATGTGCAGGCTCTGCTCACAAGAGACCAGGAGGCCCTGGGGACAGAGCTGCTCGKGGGTTGATCTCCAGGAGATTTTTTTTTGCTGAGAAGTGTTTAGGGATGCTGTGTGGATGCATACTGCAATGAGCTGTTCAGAGTATAGACAGCYGTGTTTGGAATGAGAGATTGGGAATGGGGCTGCAACAGAGCAGGGAGTCCAAACTTTCTCTTCTGACTTCTGTTTATCAATTTGTAAGATGAGGATTGAAATTTTGTAATTCAAAGCTTTGGCTTCTCTCTGATGGTCATTACTGGAGATCCTTTCATTAAAAGGTGGAATAAATTCGAGTGGCTCCTCATAAAGATGAACTCAAGCCTTGCTGTGCATATGCGAGTCATTCTCAGTGTTTCTGAGACCACGTGGATCAAGCAATCAAATGCTTAATAAACCAAGTCATTACTTTTATGGTAAATTGAAAAAAGTTCTTCTGGGATTTCAACTGTAAATGAATCCTTGAAAATCAATAATTAGATTAGTAAAGGATGACATTTTAATATGCTGGCAGGAATATAGAGGGATTTGTCAGGGGAAGCAAAACCAGACTTTGCACTAAAGTGGCTTAGGTATATTTATAGTGCTAGTGATTCTGTGTGTGTGTGTGGAATCTTTGGACTATTTTAATATAACATAAGGCTTTGAGCTTTAGCGAACTCGAGTTGCTCGTTTTATGAAGTTACATTAGTACCACACTGTGAAGTATTTTTAAATATTAGCATTACTGAGTATTAAAAGTATTTCATAAAAACATTTTTTAAAACGTTTTCTGTAGATGCTGTCAAATGAATTGATGTTTAGTGTACAAAGAAATAAAACCTGAGGGCTGTAAGGTACCTGTATGTTTCTGATCACCTC